GAACGACGCTTTCCATAGACCGAGGCCACGCCTACTCCACATGGCCTCAGCCTAAGCCTAAGCCTGAGCTCGCTTGCTAGCCCCTGTTGTAACATTGAGCGATCTGAGGCTACGCTCGGATGGGGCTGAAGTTACACTTAGGCTGAGGCCGGGCGCAGTAGGCGTGGCCTCAGTTGTTATACGCGAGCGTGCTCGCGTGTGGGCCCCCCAAAGTAAACAAGTGCTAGCAAAACTGCTTTTTTTTAAAGGCAAAATTGTTTTGAGAATCATAGGCAAAACTAATCATCATTACGTTCACTTGGATTCAATGAAAAATATAAAACGAATATTCGAATACCAGCATTTCGAAGCACCCAACAAACGACAAATCTACTGAAGTAAACACCAGCACGTCGATATAAAGTTTAAAAAAAAAGAAACCTCAGCAGGGGCACCACCAGCATTACTAGTATCGGACGATTGGAAAGGAAAAATGCGATCATTTTCAGTAACTGTCACTTGCTGAGGAGCCGTATTCGAGGCATTTTGCTGCTGTGGCTGCTGGCTATGGGGTGCACTTAGCATCGTTACATGAACCTGTGAAAGTGAACGAGGCGACCTGAAATTAGCCGTCTTTTACAAAAATAAAACGAAAAATTATTCTTTTGAAGATACTTTCTTGCTCTACAGCATTTATGTTTCTATGGAATAATGCAGATGGATGATTCACTAGCACATTTCGAAACGTTGCGTAAACAATATCACTCTTCTGGTGGTTCATCCGACAGTCAAGATGCAGTAACTTTATCACACTTCATTGTTTTGATTAGTTCTTTATTGTTTTTACGAACTGAGCTCTTTCTTGTGTCATACTAATCTTAAGAAATTGAAGAGTTAAAACAGAAGTGAATGATATAAAATCAAAATATAAAAACCTTTTTCTGATGAATGTTCTCCGTGCAGGCGATATAATAGTGGTAGTACTTTGTGTGTCCACCATGGATGTCGGTTGTTGCAATGAACTGCCACGTTGTTCGGTTTGTGCAACCTAAACGATAGACACTGCATTGAATTCAGTAAAAAAAGTAGTACTACTGAACTGAGATTATGAATTAAATGAAGTTAGCACAATTTGTGCTTCAAGAACTGCAATGTAAGCATAAATTACCACAGTTACAAACAGCTGAAGCAGCTATGTGAAAGAAACGTTCGTAATATTTCTACTAATTGAAAAAAAAAAGATCTTGTTGCAGCTCAACGAAGTTGAAATGATGAAAGGAAGTTGGAATTTCACAACTACGATTTTCAATTACACAGTACTAATGCTCCAGTTAAAATGCTCTTAACATGAACCTACTTGTAAAGGAATGCGTTGCTGTTGCACATTCTGGATGAACTGGGATGTTGTTAAATTTGTTTGCTGAAGTGATCGTTGGAAGGATACAGACGGTGACGATGATGTATTCAAAGCACTCAGCACTGTTGGTTGCGACTGACCCCGTTGTCGCCGTTGTTGAGCTGAAAACGTTTCAATTTCATCACTTCTTTTAGCAGCACTCATTTATTCTTTACTTATTCTATAAACATTTTATCACGCATCACTTCAACGCTATTTTGAATAACTGAGACTCGAATTTTTGTGAAACGACCAAGAATACTTATGTATGATCGTGCAATAGTCCACTGACAGATCAAATGCACCAATTCGTATTTGCAACATTTGGATGAGGAAAGAGAAATGTTACTTGAATCGTGATTCTCTTGAAGCTGAAGTTGCCGAACTGCTTCAGCAGCAACTCTCTGTCGTTCAGTGCTCGTCAAGCGAGGAGCATATGAGCGTTGGATAGCACTCGACAGTGCACCAGTTTTGGTTCTTGCTACGGACGACATGACCGTATCACGTACTGTTGACGTTGATGCAGCTGCTCGCATACCATCGTTTGATTGTTCAACTTAAGAAAGCAACACTACAGACAATGAAAAGTGGAAAATGAAATTATCAAAGATCTGCCAGTATCATCACCGATTGATCCACTCACAACAGCATTTCAGGAGTGCCTCATTCCGATGGATTCACTAGGCAAGTAATTAAAATACATTCAATATGTTCGTTTGTTAACTAAACTGATAGCACTGTGTTGGAAAAAAAGAATATTGAAAATGGAATTCAACGGAAAGCACAATGGCAGATTAATGAAAAGGAATCGCTTCAGCTGAACGTAACTTTTAATGGTGTGATAGTGGTGAGAATAATGAGAAGAGACATGGATTTGCAAACCAGAGGTGTGTGTCTGTTTGAAGACGTTCAATACATACGTCATCACAAATATTATGTGATCAAGATTCCGTATCCGAATTTGACAAAAGTCTTATTAATACTAGAGATACTAATACAACAATAATTAGATTAAGAAAAGACAGCTATTGATAACTGACTGGCCACTTTGTTGATGGACTGCTGAGGTTCACATGTGATGATCTGTTGTTGGGAGGACTGTTTTGCCTGGAGTGCGAGTTGTTGCTGCAATTTTGCTTTTTGCTGTTGTTGTTGCAGATGCTGCCTCACCGTCGGACCGTCGTCACCTATCACCGTCATATTCGCCAATTGTTTTGCATTACCTCGTCCCATCATTGGTAACATTGTTGATAAAGATCTACGAATCAATTGCATTCATCTTTATTTTGGAAAAATTAATGATTATTATTATTACAACTTATATTCAGCACTACTTTCCTATTTCAAATAACACATAATAATTTCTAATTAAACACTGCAGAACATAGAATTCCTATCAAGTTAGCAAAAAGTTGGGACTAACAGAAGAACAAAAAAAATTTCTTTTTCACAGTCAAAGATGATTCACGATGGATAAAGCAAAAATTTTTTTTTAAACTATCAGTCACCACGTATCACACTATTGTTGAAATGCTTTAAACAACGCTTAATGACTGAAAGTCAAAAATTTTGCTAATATGTCTCAATAGAATAAACCCGAAATTGGAACAAAACAACCGAAAATCAGAAAAGTGTACATAAAAAAAGAAACGTTTTATGAGCGCGTGAAGAATTGCCTCGATAAGAAGGTGCACGATGTGTAACGACACGAAATGAAGGATTACATATCGATGACGCCGTAATTGCCGGAACTGATAACTGCACCTGACATATGACAGCAAATAAAACTACTCACTTTCGCAACATTCTCGAATCAAATGAACAACTTGAACATAACATTTCATTATTCACAAAAGTAATTCACCTTTAATCTTTAACAAGAACAACAATTCACTTCTATCGGCATTACAAATTTACTGGAATGTTTGTGCAAGTGATATTCTTATATGAAGACCACATACGAATAGTTAACGGTCGACGATAACAGTCAATTAATCAAGAATTTCGAACTGGCGTGCCAAAAGATGAAAAGATTCAAGCAGCGAGTGATATAAAGAAAACCTGTTGCGTTATAGCTGAAGGTGCGTGAACGTGCAATGATCCCACTCCACGAACATTATTCGTATATGAAGTGGCTGGTGTATCTATAAGACTGCTTTGAGCTGTTGAATTTATTAACGATTACAAAGTCACTTCTGAATGTTCCAATTTGATCAAGTGTAGCGTTAGAAGAAGAAATCTTTGGAATGGTTCTCGAAAAATTGCGGACTAAGAACAAAATGATGAAAGAGAAGGACTAAATTCAAATTCACCGATGGGACAACGAACTGCGCATTGGGTACGTGCATCAGACAGAGGAGGTTGTTGCAAATGTGTCATGACCGTAACATGTTCATACTGCGAGGCTGATGAGGCTTGAGGTGCCTCACTACGGCATATCTTCAAATTGTCAATCAGCTCATAAACTCGAACTAATTTTCTTATATTATCACACATTTCTCATCCTAAATTCTACCTCTCGGAACATCCAAGAATGCATCATTATCATTTCTAAACTTTACGATTAAAAATCTCTAAATAATTTTACAACTACGATTGTTCGTTATTGGATTACTCCATCAAAGCGTATTTACGAAGAATATAAAAACTATGGGACGAGATTCGAACATTCACTTGGTCCAAGTGAGGTGGTGAAAATTTTGAGAAGAATTAAAGAAAATAAGAAATAGAAAGACAATTGTAACGATGACTGAAATGAGGCATGTTTCAAAACAAAACCTGTGGAGTACACGAATTCGACGTTGTAACATTTGACGTTGTAGAGAGGACTGCAGCTAGTAGAGAAGGGGGATTTGATTCGTCTAAAATGCTTTACAGCTCAGATGAGGTATACTGATTGTTTTCACGTTTCAGATCACTCTAACGCACAGAATCATTCACAACAAAAACTTTCGTGTCATTAAAAACGAAACCGAGTATGCTTCATTTCTTGAGAGATTGGTTAACCGATAACATTCGCTGATTAAACGATACTTTTATAATCGAGACGTTTCCGTGCTCAATGTGAAGAATAGAAAACGAACTTGAAGATTGTGATGAAGACGATGTAGGTGTTACAAAGAACTCGTTCGATGACGAACACTGCATTAACGCAACACACCGTTCACTTTAAGTTGAGAGCTTTACCACGTCTCTAAAAGCAATTTCAGAACAACAAAACGGTTGATAAGCAAGAACGAATTTCGAAACTTCGACTCCTATCAAATTAAACTTAATCGATCGTCGTTTAAAACTGAATTTCAAGCAAGATTTCAAGAGTTAAAACTCTCGGCATTGTTTCCATACCAAACAAATCATAAAAAGAGTTGCTCTAGAATACATCCTTATTCCATGAATTCGACAACACACCATTTTCAATTACACATCTTACAAACTACTTACTCTCGCTCTTCAAATACACTCGTTTTTGGTACGAACTATATTAGCAAGGCTTGTACGCAATTCGCCATAAGAGCGTGTCGGTTGAAAGAGGGCGGAGTCACGAGCACGTCGCGCGAAATTGAGGTGAACAGAGAGCACTTATTAACGATGTTATGAACACGGATTTGGAACCATTGAGACAAAAAGTGAATGCGGAAGCAGAGAGACAAAAATGTGCCAACTGGAATATTTTGAGAATGATGAGTATTATTTTTACCCTCGGACGATTGAAACTGTTTAATGGCATAGAAATTGAAATTCTCAAATTTCTAAATGATTGAAATTTTTGTCGAGACGGGCTATTCAGAGCCATCTCTGTGCACTTGACTATTTACACGAGGATTTTTGTTTGTAAATATTATTGTATAGCTAAGAATGAAAATAAACGAAAACTTTCGGGTAGGCAGGGGCATATACTGTCATGTTTACAGGAGCGCTAGATGTGATCAAGAATAAAATTGACCGCACAAGTTTTGCAGTTCACAATGTTGGCACCATTGGATCAGTTTTTTTTTAAACTGTTATTGCGGAAAGGTGTTCTTGACGAAATTTCAAAACCAACGAATGAAGATGCCATAAAAGGCTGATGGGAGACTAGATACCAATGAATGCCATTGAAATCCAGAAGTTTATCGGAACGGTTATCTCAGTTGTGTTTATAAGCCGAAAGGAGAGTCGCTCTCACAAGTGTGCAGTGCAAACGATGGTCGCCCCATTTTCAACAAGCTATTCTCGAGAGATCATCTACTTTCATCTATTGATTCATTTCTTCAAAAAATGCACTTTAAACTTCACCAGACTGAGGTAAATACATGTAGATATAATCAACATTGGTGACTTCATCCGCGGATAGAAAACGGACAATGTGTTCCATATGTCCATCGGGCAATGATAGGAATTAGAAGGTAAAACGTGCTTGCTGTCAAACGAATGCTCGGAAGGAGCAGAGCACGATGCTTCGTCAAGAATGCACACCATAACTCTTGCTGAATATTCAGATGATGAAATTTCTGCTGATAAATTATATTTAAAACATTGTCTTTTGTTGGTTTTCTTATTGCTCTGTCTTTTTTCATCTCTATTGTTCAGCTATGAATGAGATGAGAAATCAAAATTATTTTTCGCAGTTTGCACTACGATAGTAATCTGAAAAGCTGCAACGGAAGCCAAAAGTTAAAAAATGCGGGGCTGCAGCCGGAGCAGAACTTCGAAAAATGTGAAACTTTCCTCAACAATTGTGCTCTTTACTATTTTATCATGTTTACGATTTATTCTTACTGATGTGAATGACGATAACGAAATTATGTTTTACAGTTCATGTTACAATGATCACCTCATTTGCACATCTTGATGCGATTCATTATTCTGGTGTATTCTTAAAAAGGTTAAAGTAAGTGAAGCGTAGCAATGACTGTCGTTTTACAGACTTTAAAACGCCTTCCTAATGATATAGTCGTGGCCGAACGTAAGAGGCGCGGTCTGTCTCCGATGCAATAAAATGCTCTAAATCACTTACATGATCTAGAAAGAATTGTCTTTTCTATCTGAGGTCAGGGAAAAGAACAACGTCACAGGAACTCAGGTCTGTGGCTACAATATTCATGAAGTTATGAAAGACATCGGACCTCTCAGACACGTTCATCATGCGAGGGGTAAAGAAAAAATTTATATCTAAAAACAGAATCCATCTATTACTAATGAGCAGTGATGCCTGAGCTAGGGAGCCAAAAAATTTTTTTGCTCCCTTAAAAAAATATCATAGCAACATTCAGTAGCCTAAGCTAAGATCTGTACGATATCTTTTTCCGGATTCGAATTGCTCCGGAGCCGCAGCATAGCGGAGTAAATTTGCGAGATGGAGCTGAGGCCGAAGTTTTGCAAAATGTTGAGCCAGAACTATAGCCAAAATTCTTTAAAATGTTAAATTGGAGCTAGAGCAAAAATTTTGAAAGCGCAAAGCTGAAGCTGAAACGGAAGCCACAAGTTTAAAAATGCTGGAACCGGAGCCGAACTTCCAAAAATGCGGAGTCGGAGCTAGAGCTGGAGCCGAAATTTCGGAGTATGCGGAGCCGAAATTTTGAAAAAGCGGAACCAAAGTATTAAGAAATGCCGGGCCGAAGCCGAACTTTTGGAAATGCGGAGTCGGAACTGAAATTTTGAAAAGTGCGAAATTGGAGCTGGAATTGGAACCGAAAATTGAAAAATGTGGGGATGGAGCCACAAACGAAAATTTTAAAAACGCGCAGCTCGAGCTGGATCAATTTTTAAAAACAAATTAGGCATCACTGGTAAGAAGTCTAGATTGCTTTAGTGATATGCTCTTTTAATGAGAATCAATCTTGAAAACATGAAAACATTTTCAGCTTGACTTTTTTTCAGGATAACTGCGGATTTCATAGTTTCGGTTAATATCGAATTGTATTAAACAAGAATTTCCAATTCCAGTGCTCCGAGGAACTGATAATAATAATGATATTAATAAAGATTTAAAAATTTATGATGATATGATAACATTTACACGGACAATAATGTCCTGCGAACTGTAGCAGTAAAATTCTATTAAAAATTCAACTAATAACAACAGGAGCAATATGATAAGAATTGTGGCAATAATAGTAACAAATCTTAGTCTTGACATTTCTCATATTTTGTGCTACCTTCATCGATGCTGTTCAATGTTTTGTTAATTATTTTGTCACTGATAATATACCGTTATTTGTCATAGTGACTTTCACGTAGATTTCTTTTTGATGATGCGATTCTAATTTGATGATTCGATTCTAACTGTACACATATTCAACTTTTCCCGCAGTTACTTCATTCAAAAACGCCATTTTAAAAAATGATATTACTCGACAACTTATTAAATGAACTTTTTATTGGTGTTCTCGTTAGTGATAATACTTTAATTCAGCGCAGATGAATTAGTAACTACCATGTTTACATGTTTTCATTTATGCTCAAATCATTCTTCTCAAGATATTGTTGAATGAATGAGAATCAAATATATTTTTCTTTGAGAAAAATTCATCGTTATCATGACACATCCTCTATAGGTGGCTTTCGCGATCTGGCCACTTAAAACTCTATAAATAAATCCCACGATATATGCTACTATTATAAATTCAACAACATAAACAAAATGAATATTTCCCCCACAAATATTGCCGTTTTTACTAAGATATCATATTTAAGAACAGAATCAATGCTACAACTCACTATTATTAACATGTTATGTTATGATTAGCGCAGGGTTGGACTCGGGATTATGAGTCCAACCAGAACCTCATGGGATCGGATTCGGTTCGGAGAAATGTGGACTGAGACCTACGGATTCATGTTTGTGGAATTTTACATACTCTCATACTGTTATACGAGTCAAGATTCAAGGTGCAAGCCCGCGGGCTCGGATTCAACGTGTACGATCACGGAAACTCGTGCCATTTTTCACACTAGGCCCAGTACTGACTGCAAGCTTGTTTTCTGTTTCGATTTGTCGGATTCTGCTAACAGGTGTTACACTCTATCAAGATATGGCAACCCTCCCACCACACAACCAGCGCGGTGGCACGGCTAAAAATAGACAAGCACATCCACAACGGTAACCATCAGTGTTTTATCAAATTGCACATCAGGAAGCACAGTTTAATGAGATTCAGTTTCTCATACTGCAAATGTGTGAGAATACAGTTATCGCAATATTAAGAGGAGGAAACCTCATATCTGCGCACATATTGCATTAAAGTTCTGTCGATCTTTCGCAACGCGCCTACCTCCGCTTTGTTTTGTGTCCTTGCTCGAGCTGACTTTTCTGTGTAAACGCCAGAAGATAGGTTTACATGAGGTGCACGATGTGCAAAAAGTATTTTTATTGAACCACTTTGAATTATTAGTACATTTGGCGAACTAAAAGTACAAAGGTACGACGGCAATCGGTTACCTTGGCAGAATTGAATGATAGGATTCCTTCCGCTTTGTTAGCAATGTGATTCTGCGGTTTTTTGCAATTCCATACGAGTGCTGCAAATAACCAAAACCGCTCAGAATGTGAATTATGAATGTTGAAAATTGCAAGCGATAAGATTTCCTCCGATCAGCTTTGAGAGCTCCATTAACCTCAAGTTGGACATGTTCTTCCAACTTT